GGATTTGATCAGGTTCCAATTGTGGTGTTCGTGTCATTCAGGTCCATAAAACAGTTTATAAACGTGCTACTATTTGTGGCCTGCTTCTTTGTCTGCTCCGTAAAACCAGTCACATTATTGGAAGATAGGGATTCTGCATGCGGTGCCGTGGCTGTGTGTGTCACCGTGTTATTTTAGTTCAACAATAAAAAATGCAACTGCTGTCAAAGGAATTTACAGGCTGTTGTTGTCTGTGATTTCTTTTTAAAGCTGGTTTTATGAGGTCATATGTTCTTTGAATCCTTGGCCAAATGCTGATAGCTTGTCATAACTTCTCTGCAATCTGGGTTAGCCACAAGGACACCAATGTCTGGACTGCAAATTAAAAAGTTATTTTTTGGTGTGAATCAGATATACTATTTTGAAATGAGGGTGTGTGCCTATGTCTCCCTGCCCTGGCCGTTCAGGTGTATGTTCATGTTTTGACAGATCTGTTAGTTGATCATTTGGCCCTCTCATGATATAAGAGAAGTGAAGCTATGTTTAAAGTCAAGGAGCTTTAGGATATAAACACCTGCATAGAAATCTGGATGCCCTCTAATGAGAGCATGCAACTGAACAATTTCTTTGCATGGGATTAATGGTGACTTTTAGTTTTTATTTGATTGTTTATATACTTCCTGGGATAAAGTTTATTTAAATAGATACAATTAAACCGCTTCAACCTAAAAGTTGAAGACACTATTGTTTGTGTAATTCCAAGTTGCTAGCTGCTGTGCCTGTTAGTGTGCACATAATGAAAGAGGCCTGCTGAAATAGATACCTTCTTCTCATGCAATGACCAAAACCACATTTGACCTTCAGGGTGTGTGAAAGTGTGTCACATGGGTTTGTAAATGAATTTGTGAGCTTTGGTTTGTCGCATACTATAGCCTGCTCACTGCTCAACATAACGGTCTCTCTCTAATGAGGCTAAAGGTAGAATATTAGAATGGCTTTAATTAACAGACTAAGCCTGCTTAATGGCTTCACACATGTCAGCTTAAAGCCACTACAAAATAAACATTCCCCTCTTCATGGGAATGCTCAGCTCCAGAGTGGCATTCCCAGCTGCACCCAGAGCAATTCTTTGGAAAACTGATCGCCTGGAAAGGGAGTTGTTCTTACTTAGCACAGTCTTACTTTGGCATTTCACATACAGTATGAATTGTCATGGCTGTCTTTGTTTTACTGAAATATTATGTCATAAAATATAATGGTGATACTGATATAGGAGAGGTAGTGGAGCCATTACATTTTTCATCCAACAAGATTGGCACAAGGGAGAAACCATTTCCCTGTTCCCATTATCCCCGTAAAACTTGAGACACTCTAAATACCTCCTAATTGACTGCATGCATGGTAAGATATACTGTACTGCTTTCAACACATATCAATCTGGGCACACACTGTAAGCTTAAGCACACAAACACACACAAAGATACAAAGTTCTGGCCTCATACCAATACAGTTTAAAGTAAATTATTTGTCAAAATATATTTAAATTTTTTTTCATACAAATATTTATATTACTTTAGGCAGACAACGTTGCTCCTGATATAGCAATGTAGAATATACATTTATATTTTTAGTTTGTACCAGCAGCAGTGCTGTAGAGGATATTTCAAGGTTTTGTGACATACACAAATATTCTTTAGCACTGACATTATTGTTTTGAAAATGTGATTTCTTCAAAATATTAGTTACCATAAGATATCATGCGTCAAAGGTTTAAGGCTTAAACATTTGCACATTAACAGACAAATATTGATAAACAAAGCACAATGGTAGTCAAGGAATAAGCAGTTGTTTGCACGACTAGCTTCAGGTAAATCATTTTGCAACTGAGAGCTGTATCTGTGAGAGCCTGCTCCTCTGAGTGGTGATAAGTTGTTACTCGGACTTCCACACTTTGTCAGTGGTTAGTTCTTTGCAAGGCCTCTTTCTGACACTCAATCATTAAAAATGACTTTTCGTCACTTGGCTTTTCAACCACAGCTGGCTACACTGAATATGACAGATCACTTCTCAGCATGTTCTCAGTTCACATGACTGCGCTAATGTTAGCCAGCATAGGTGAATTATGGGAAATGTGGTTTGATGGCAGACTTTCATAGTAGTAAGAATGCTTTTCCAATATGCTGATTGACTACAAATACCATAATGGTTAGAACTAGACAACATTTTTCCATGGACTGCAAACAGTCAGCCACATGCACAGACTCAGTCAGCCGCATGATTTCGATTTTAACATGGGTGTGACTGTGATATGTTTGAAGGTATAATTAGCATATTCATTTCTTCTGTCTGTATGTAGATGTTTGTTTTCAAATAACTTTTTTTCATTCCTTAAATTGCAGTAGCTACAGCATGGTTGCTCGTATGGTATAATTTGAAAGAGAATGGTGATGTAAGAGTAAGGAACTGTTGGGAAGTATTTGTTGTATTGTGGCTATGGAGTTTGTTGGTTTTCAAAGATTGCAGGAGGTTCACTGGACAAACGGTTTCATTGTAATTCACTTCTGTTTCTGCCATGCTCAACACTGAGTCATTCAGACATGCACCATTATAGAAACCACTACCGCTACAGTGGTATCTGCTTTCTCACAGGGCCAAAAATAAGCTGGGGGATTGTTATGTAGAGTTGTAACATGAGTATATGCATGCGCTTGCAAACACGCAACGCGTAGCGATAGTTTATTGTTGCTTTCAGCTCAGAATCTGTTAGATATGTTTTGAATGTTGCCTTTTTAAAGCAGACAATGCGATGATGTAGATCAAGGGCCGTATACGGACCGCGAGACCATTTGGTACGGCCCTCGAGGTAATTTATAAACACACGCAAAAAAGAAAAAAATTAAAGAAATCTAGACCGCAAAAGAATTAAACAAGCGAGTGCCTGTTTTTCCTGGCCAAGGTCAGGGTCCTTGAACACAACACGAGCCTAGTGTCATCACGTGGTATATGTCTCGTCTGACGGGTGCAGTTCTGACGGAGAGCACCAGAATGCCGCTCCGGCACTTCAGAAATTGCAGTACCCATAAGGACACATGACACATGCCGCAGTTTTTGCTTGGCTCTGTCTTTATTGCCTCCTAAAAAAAATCTTCCCGGGGGACCTAACCTCCTCTAGGGGGGTCCGTTAGGTCCCCCCCCCCACTTAAATCATGTTCACATGGATAGGAAACTAAATACATTTGCACACATCTTGTGCCACAACCGTGCACATGCATGCATGCGCGAGTCATGGTAAAATATCTGGATTAAGAGGTTGATTTTTCTTTGCACAGCATAAAAGAAAGGCGAAATTAATGGGTATTTTTAAGCAGAGGTCAATAATTTGTACGGCCCTCGGAGGATGTTGAAAAAATTGAAATGGCCCTTGAGAGGAAAAAGGTTCCCCACCCCTGATGTAGATAATGTCAGATCTCTTGGTTGGTTAAATAAAGTTCTTTTGGCATGATATTGACTCAGCTTTTATCTATAGAGGTTAGTTACTCTTAAATACAGAGCAAAATGACATAAAACAACAGCATTCATTTATGTTCAGCCAGATGGCCTTGCCTTATTTAATCAAATTTGAATGCTGGACTGTTTGTGATTTCGGTGTTTATAATCTGTGAGTCAGCTAGCGGCACATGGCAAACCATTTTTGGCCACGTGCCAACCAGTAAACTCAGCGCTGTAGATTAATCAATGTATTCATAGTACTATGATAAGTCAAAAAGCCTGATTAAACAGTTAGAATGCTTGAGTTAGGCCACTCTTTACATGGTCCACATTTTAGCATTTTATAAAACCAATTCATTGATTTTCCACAACTTTTTTAAGTTAAAGCAAAGTAGCCAAACCTCTTGGAACTTACAAACTGGATGTTTGTAATCTTTCTATCCTTGTTATTTAATTGTATTTGGTAACCTTTAAAAGGTGTAACAATTTGTCCAAATAAAAAATTGTTGAGGCACAGTTATGGTTTCTTGTATTAATGACAAATGCGATTCTCGAACTGATCCTTTGGAAACAGTATACGTTTCAATCTCAAAATCATTCACCTTGCCAAATGAAATATTATAAAATAATTCAACCTGGAAACAACAAGCTAGACCCTATATTTTGCTTTTGAGGTGTGGTATATCCTTAAAGGATTACTAATATGCTCTCACTCTTTTCTTCCCCTGATGGTGATTTATTACCACGCACGCCCCACCTTTTGGCTCACAGATGTGAAACCCAAGACTGCCTGGCCATTACAAAATGTGAATAATCTGACGCGGTGTTCCAGGGGCAGGAGAACGGACCGCTCCGATGATTCAGCAGCTAAATTGATCACGACACCTATTGAGTGACTGATTGCATTCCCAGAACCCCAGTGAATCCCTTCATTGGCCAGAATATGTGAGGGAGTGTGTGTCTGTGGCTATGTGTTTGTGTAGGACTGTGGAGGTGATAATCAGTTGTGGCAGGGGGGGACTTTCTTTTCCCTGTTGTTGTGCCGCGTGAAGCTGTCCCGGGCAGGGACTCCCATTTAGTCCCTTTCTACTCACCCCCCTTTTGTCGTCCCCTGAGCCCACCTCTTCTGCTTTTCCCTCTTAAACTTCACTCAGTCAACCTTCTGTTTCCCTTTGAAGAGGCTCCCATCTTTTGAAACTGGAGAGAAGAGGGGAAGTGAACAAATGTCCTGTAATTGTAGATTGGGTAGTTTTCTAGGGAAAGAGAGTTGGAGAGAATAGCCTAAAGGGCGCTTTGCTGCCTTTGCAGCTGTCGATCAGGAGTAGCTGAGTGGAAGAACCCCTGCTGAAGCTCAGCAGCCGTTCTTTCCCTTCCTGCTGGGCTTTCTGTCATCTGACCATGCAAGTAAGGGGAGAGAAAAACATAGCTGGCTCAGAAGGTTGACTGTCATCAGGATTTGCTGTCTTAACTGTAGTGGTTATTTTTGAGGGGGGTGTTAAGGCTGCAGGTGGTGCTAGGGAGTTTGTTTTGCCATGCAGCAAGCTTGGGATCGGACAAGTAGCACTGAGAGGGTCAAGAGAGACCATACAAAAATGCTGGGAAAAGGACAAAGTGGTGGATATCCCCCCGAGACAACCAGTGAACTCTTGCAGAGGTAAGAGAAAGTTAGATCCACCCTAAAAAGGCCAAGGTGTGTCCAGTTAAAGCACATGCCTGGTGCTTACTGTATGAAAGATGTATTTGTTCCACAGAACTTTGGGTGATGGTATTCATGAATACACTGTAACTCCCAATGCTTTCGATAGTGATTGGAAGTATTGCTGAAAATAAGTTTTATATGTGCTGGAATGTCCACTTGCAGGAAATCTCACGCAGTGTCAAGCCTTAAATTATATATCAATTAAACTTTATTCTGCAGTATGCCTCAAAATTAAGTATTTAGATATGTCCTATAAAGTAGTATTTAAGTGAATTTGAATTAAATAATTTTCAATTATAAATACTGGCCCCTAGTTCTCCACTCTAAAGGTGAGACTTTTTTTTAGTACTTAAACATTTTGACCAAAAATGACCTATACATCCTTAGTAAAAACTACAATATTTGCCACTGAATCAATCTTTGGTCATCGTCTTTTCCCAAGAGATACATTTGGGACGTGTTGCAAACATAATTCAAAAATGGTTCAAGCACATCATTATTTTTAAACACTTATCACATGAGAATTTAAATAAGTTTGATGTATTCTAATATAAGAAGCCTGACTACTGTACTACTTGCTTCTTAAAAAAAATGTTTTGCCCACAGGGGAATAGATATTATTTATTCAAAATACAGAAATTAACATCATTCAATCTGTAAAACTATGTTAAACACAAGCAACTTTTTAGGTGAATGTGGTGATCTATTGAAATTGTTTGTCTTAGTTAAATCAAAAGAATATGCGAAAACCTTTTTTTGTTACTGAAAGGCAAAGCCTACAAAGAAACACCAGTCATTTTCAAAATACCATATCTTGTCTTGAAGATTTGTAGATTTTGTAGAAATGTAAAAAGTATATATTTTGCAAAATCATGCTGTAACGTCCGCGAAACAAAAATGCATCTGGTAAAGTCTTTTAAGTCCGGCCTCTTGCCGTGAGAACATGTCCAGGCCGTACATTCAGTCTCGCAGCTTTTCTATAAAGCTGTATCTCAACACTGTATTAGGTCATAAGGCGACTAACAAATCTTGCAGCTGAATCGCAATCCAACAGAATTTTTACTTAGCAGAATTGTGTATTATAGGAATTACTTTTGGTACCTCTTTGAGCAGACATTATTGGTGGCAAACAGGCTATTTGTCTCAGATTGAACACCATTAAAGCCTGTGTAGTCCTATGCAGCCGTACTGTTGGGTATAATGTATTCTGGATTCTTCTTGATACTACTGTAAGCTGGCTTTATTGGTCAAATATTTGTTATGTTCGCAGGAGGGAATAAGAGCAAATTGTAGTATTTTGTGTGAATGTGTTCTTGTAGCAACATTTCATTATATTACCTGCTAAGCAACAAAGTAAAAGGTTACAGTGGTCCATACATGGATTTTTCATTCCGCTGCTTAATTTAGATCAACTAATTAAGGATATGCAGCAACACATGATATTCAGCATGGTTCTCTAAGATTTTGTGTGAGCCAACAAGAGTTTTGTCTGAGAAATATTTGTATTAACATTATATTCTGTTAATACAAAGCTGCTCAAAACCATATACACCAGGTAACATGTTTTTGCAATTATAATTTTAATCTGTCAGTTTCCATTTCATTTTAGTTGCTGTTATTGCTAAAAATACAGTTGCACTCATACTTAATGAATGGCTTGATTGGATTTGATGTCGCAAATACACTTAACTTGCAATATAGCCAGAAAGTAATTTAGTTTTTAAGATTTCTCAACTCTTGTTAGTGAGAGAAAAGGATTACAATATTATTCATTTTAAAATTAATAGATTACAACTGCAGCTAGGCTTGATAAAAGAAAGCATAACATTTCATAATTATCCTATAATATCATAACAATTATAACAAAGAGACAAACAATATCATACTAAGCCGAATTTAGATATAACTAAATTAATATTATATGTCAAATCAAATATGCCCATAGTAAGTAGTTGCATTAATCATAAAAAAGTCCAATAGCAGTTAGAATGGAGAGACAAACTTCCTCTTTTATTAACACACTTACCGTTTTATTAGGTCCTCTCCTAGTATCCCCTTTTTACTGCATAACAAGGACCTTGTTGTATTTTCAGTGTAAAATCAGAGTTGCATAGTTTCCGTCTCAACACATCTGGCCCTTTTTAGTGATCTTGTTACCGGATAATGTGTGGTCCACATTCTTTTACATGTAAATTATATAAAAACCTGTCCTTTGTCACCATCAAATATTACAACAAATCTGTCTTTTTGTAAGAGAATACAATTTGTATTTATTTAATAATAGGGTAACTGAAAGCTCCAAGTTGCTAGAATTGTAGTCTTGTTTTTCCTTTGGTTTTGTGATAATTCATCTTTGAATGATTGTAGTTGAACAGATTTGTGGTCAAAGAGATTGTCTGGTCATTCACATTAGCACTTATCCGTTCCCTGTTTTTCCTATTTCACTTTCCTCCTCTTACTGCTATTTCCCACCTGCCGGCTCTATATCACTCTGGCAACATGTCATAGGAGGCGAAGGCGTCACAGCAACTTGTACCTTGTGTTGCAATCTCTGAAGCTCTTCATTAGAACACTGACGTGTGAAAATGCCACAGGAAAGGTAAATCTCTTGCATTGAGACTTTTTTTTTTCATTTATTCGGTTTTATTGGGGGTCGCACTTTGTGTTTATGGGGTAGAGTGTTTTCTCGAGCTGTGGAACAGCAAAAAGCCTCGGCTACATTTCATGGCGCAACCTAAGGGCAACAAATGCTGTTTTATTGCCCTTCTGAGTCAAAGGAGCCTTTTGCTGTAAAACACTATAAAACATATTTTTGATGTTATTTTGCTCTTTTTTGTGTCTTGCAAAAATGGGTTATTTCTCTTCAGTCCTGAGTTTTATGAATAAATAATAGCCATACTATAAAATGAATGGATTATTTAAAAAAATAAATGTCATCACTGGATTTACCCTTATCCTTTTTTAAATCGAATTTGATATTAGTTGTTGGTTGAATTGTTTGCTATCATTGTTGAAGATTGTTTGCTTTTAACACTCCCATCCCACAGCAGGTCATTAACAAGAGCTAATCTGATGAGCTTTCCTGCACCTAATGTGGCTCTGCCCTAAAGCTTGCCTGGACTTAGATGTTGAGATTGATTTTTGAGCCGGCTTCACTGCTCTGTGACATTGGGGTCTCCTTTGAAATCCATTGAATTTGTTTGAAAAAGGCTAAGCAAAACAAATGCAGTGAGTCTTTTATTTTTTTATTTAGAGGTGAACACACGTTTTTTTGCTTTAGTTCTGAAAGTCATTACTGGTTTGCAGTTTACCCATACAGGCTAGTTGGTTTCATGAAAAGGAAAGGCAGTGTACAAACAATGTTGCATGTCTATTGCCTCCTAAATAAAAAGTATTTTAAGAGACTAGATTTAATCGCTTCTTCAGCAACAGTTCCTATCGTTAGTTAACTTTAGATGTAGCAGATTAGTTATGGCCTGGTGTTACTTTTAGGTGAGAAGAGTTTTCTCTCCTTTTGCTTATAGGAATTATACATTCATTGTGTCACCTCCTGTAGACTTACTACTATCTCCTCCCACACCACCACCTTAAGCATGTGTTCATTGCTGTGTTGACACGTGGCAACAACTGTTGCTAATCTTGATGTTAAATGGCTGACAGTTGTGCGGCACCAGGCAGGTGCCTCCAAGGCCTCGTCGTAACCAGGGCCAGGTCTGTCTTTTTTCGTGGGGACAAAAATCAAGTCTAGGTGCATCCTGTAATAACATTTTTTAAGAAATATCCATATTATCAGTCTAAATCACAACAATGTGCCGTGGAAAAATCATTTCCCATTTCCTTCAACTTGACTTATCTTATTTGCCCAAATTCAATTCTAGTGGCAGGTGCCTTTCTGTATAAGGTAGGATTGCACTTTTACTTTTGAGCCACTATTGCCAACTCTTGTGTAATGAAAGTTGCCAGCACCATTTGCTACGTTTCCAGGTGACATCATAAGATCAACTTAAGTCATATAAAAAGGTAGAAAAACACCAAACAAAACATTTGAGTGTTGTTTGATTTTCTGCTTTTCAAAAAAAGTTGCAAAGTGGGTCCAAATAGTTTTTAAGATAGTGTTAAGGTTGGCAACTTAGCAACACTGCATCAAGCTCTTGTACCTTTTTGAGTTTGAATTGTTCCATGATTCCATCACCAAAACTATTAAATGTACATTCGCTAACCATCAGACAGTTCAAAAATATACTTTTAAAAAACACCATTATCCTCATTATCAAATGGTGAGAGAACTTACAAAAGAGGGCTCATTTTTAAATTGATATGGCTCCTGGAAACATGTTACCTCTTCTGTATATTCTTTGGTGGCTTTATTATCGTATACATTAATGAACAGTTTGAAGTTTTTTGGCTACCATTTTAATTCTATACCAGAGATTATTAAACTTGTGATGATTTCCTCTGTTAACTTCAGCAAATATCTATCAGTACTGTAGATGTTGTCTTTGGTTCTCACCCTGCAACACACAGTATTATTATGTAGCAGTGGAACAGGGTTTACAGGCGTTGAGTTGGTAGACTTAGCAGACTTAACTATCTGGAACAATGGGAGTTGACAGAGTTAAAGAGGTTTAAATGTGTTTATACACCGTACAACATTAAAATAAAGCAATGAGATAAGAGTGTTGTCAAATATTTCCATCCGTATAGATTTACCAATGAGATTTGCACGTCGTTTGGACGGGCTTGAGTGGGATACACAAGTTAATCCAAAATCTTAATAGTTTCAGGGATTTGTTTTGGGGCCACCATAAAGTAGGCTCTAATGTAACTCAAGTGGCGCAATAGTCTTCTGATATGGTGCAATAAAAATGTAGCTTGTACAATATTAACACAATATGAGTCTTTGATGTAATGTATGTGATGTCTATCATGAAACCAGTTATGTATTTTTAAGAGAG